CTCGTTGGCACTGTTCCGCTGCTGTGCTTCCTGCTGCCATGAACTAAGCAGCTTTTCTCCACCAGGCCCTTCCACCATGATATCTCTGCCTTGGAGCCGACTGACCATGGACTGAATCCTCTGAAACCATGAGCCAAATTATGCTTCCCTTCTTTTAATTGTGGGTGTGGGTACTGTAACCCATTGAGAGAAACCTGACCAATACAATGTCCAAAGCTATTCTGCTTCTTAATCATTTGATATGACCTCCCTCCACATACTTTCTTTGGGTTGTTTCTCTTTTCCCAGGATTCTGAATTTCAGGAAAATGCTGTGCCTTTGTGGGATGTTTTTATACTCAACATGTTGGGAATTTGTAATCTAGGAACTTGTGTCCTTTACATGCACAGTTTTTTCCCCTCTGAGTTTTCTCAGTTGTTTTGTTTTTAAATTAATTTATTATTGATGAGCCTAGGGCCTTTGCATTGAGCTACATCCCCAGTTTTTTTTTTTTTTTGAGACAGGGTCTTACTAAGTTGCTAGGTTGCCCAGGATGAGTTTGAACTTGATGTCCTTCTCCCTCAGCCATTCCTCAATAGTGGAATGCACCCCTGCACAAAGCTTGTTTTATTTCTTGAATGGCTTTATTTAGGTTTTGAACCTTCTGAGTTAATCCTCTAGTGGCATCTCTTGACTGATATTCCTTCTCCTTATTTTAAAATCAGTTTCTTGAAGGTTCTTCTTGTATTAATCTTCTACCATAGATAAAACATTGCTACAAAGTTAGGTACCCACTTACTACCTCACAATTTCTGTCATTTAGAAGTTTGGGCATTCCAGGTGTGGTGCATGCCTATAATCCTAGCACTCAGTAGGCTGAGGCAGAAGGATCGCTACAAGTTTGAGGCTAGCCTGGGCCATATTGTGAGTTCAAAGTCAGCCTGAACTACATAGCAAGACCCTGTTTCAGGAAAAAAATAAAAGAGTTTGGGTACAGAGTGGATCAGTTGGGTCCCATGCTGAGAATCTCACAAAATGGAAATGAAGGTGCCGGATGGCTGAGTTCTGGTTTAAACAGTCTGAGAAGGTTCTGCTCCCAGCCCCTTTCATGGGTAGATTCAGCCTTGTGGCTGTAGGAGTGAGTCCCCTCTCCCTGCTGGCTGTTGGCCCTGGGTTGCCTGCATTCTTACCTAGTTGAAGTCCTAGGCTGTGGCCCCTAACCTTGCAAAGCCTGTTCACATCTCAAACCTCCCTTCACCTTTTGTGTTCCTTTTCTATTTTTTGGTACCAGGGATCAAACTCAGGTCCTTGTGCTAGCAAGACATGCAGCAGAACCACTGAGCTAAATCCCTGGCCCTCCTTTTCTTTAATTAAGGGGTCCTGTGGTTTCGGCAGGTCCAGCTTTCTCATCCAGGATAATCTCCCTCTTTGACAGTCAGTTTATTGGTAACCTTAGTTCTTCTGCCTGTAATTTCCCTTCATAGCAGTGAATCACCAGGGAATGGGATCTCATGGGGACACGTGTAGAAGTCTCAATACCTTTTTCCTCACTGAATATTGCAGCTCTTGTTTCCTTTCGCTAGTAGTTTGTTCATGGTGCATGTGTACAATATCTTCTCTTCCTTTGAGAATCTGGATGCTAAGAAATTTTCTTTTCCTGGCACTTTTCTTCCCTTCCCTTCCCCTTCCCCTTCCCCTTCCTCTTTCTTTCTTTGTTTCTTTCTTTCTTTCTTTATTTTTCTTTCTTTCTTTCTTTTTTTGTACTGGGGATCAAACTCAGGACCTTGGGCTTCCAAGGCAGGCATGGTGCCACTGAGCTAAATCCTTGGCCCCTGCATTTTTCCTTTGCTTTGAGTTCTTCCTTCTGTTTATTCCTTCTCCTTATCCACATGACAGTCTTTTCCTATGCGTTCGTGTCCATACTTATAAATGAGGGATTGGAAGCTGCTGTGGCCTCTTGACATGCCAGACTTCACTGAGGTGTCAGCAGTGGGACATTCAGCATGGGAGACCCACAGTGCGAGTGCTACAGTTTGAATGCCCCTGCCTTCCGGAGTTGGGAATGTGGTGATATTTTGTTTGCTTGTTTGTTTTTGGTACCAGGGATCGAACTCTGGCCCTTGCACTTGCAAAGTAGGTGGCAGAACCACTGAGCCAAATCCCTGGCTAGAGAATGTGGTGATTATTAAGAGGTGAGCTTTTACGAGATGATCAGGCTTCAAGGAAGTAAGGAGAGGAGACTTCACACAGCATTTTCCTAGCTCATTCTTCCACCTTCCTTGGAGTAAGCAGAGAGCAGCCTTCACTGATCAGTTGAACACACCCACACCGTGATCTTGGGCTCCCTGATCTACTCCCGAGAGTGGTGCCCCATGACTAATCCCACACCAAATCCTGGGGGACCCACGGCTCAGCGCGCCAGCCTTGGGCGACACAGTACATCTACATCATGACATTGCTCATCTCACTGATGACGGAGGATAATGAATGTAAATAGCTGTACATTAACATATATTGGAATCTCTTTTCTGACTCACATCATGGTGAGTATTTTTCAGTTTTTGGTAGATCTTGTGTTCCTCCAGGTTTATTTTTTGCTGCCCTGGCTGTGTTTGGGGGAGGCATATTAAAGGGTTATGACTGACCCCTGTCAATGGCACCACAGGGAGCGTTATCAGCACCAGTGCTTCGGGGCCATTGCTCCCAGTGGAGGATGGGCAGCCTGCTCGTGCCCAGCTCTGGTGGCAATGTTAAGTGTGGCCTGTGCAGTGGGTGTGAACCAAGCAAGAAAATCTGAGCTCAGGGCACAGTCTTTCCTTCCAGTGCCATGTTGGGGACTGCCATGGGATGGCACCCAGGCAGCTGCCAGCTGGCTTTTCCCCCTTCATGTAGCTCTAGCTTAGCCTGGCAGTGGCTCTCTCTGTCCTTGGGGCCCCATGTGCTGATCCTGACTCCCCTGTACTCCATGATACAGCCGTGTGACTTCAGCACTCAGGCGTAAGTGCCTCATAGCAGCACGAGGACTGCCATCTCTCAGGACAGCGGGAACATCAGTGAACATCAGTCTTCTGGCCACATGGATGGCACATATAAGGCAGATTTTTAGTGGTCATCCAGAGAAGAGAATATGGCCCCAGCAAACGTTTCCATCGTCTCTAAAGCATACCCCATGTTGCAGGTCCCCTCTCCCAAGTTTCTGACCCTGCTTTGGTCCATTAAGTGTCCCATTTAGCCCAGGGCACATCTTAGACCACATGAAGGAGGCTCCAGGCCATGCCTGCCATCTAACACACTGGATCGCCATCTTGGCCCCTTCCTAACTCCTTCATTTGCTCTGCAGCTAACTTTCCAAAATCCTGTTCCTGATTTTAATGTGAAGGATTTCAACTTTTGACCATTTAGTATGATTTTGGCTGTTGGTTTTTCATAGATGGCTTTTGTCAGGTTGAGGTAGAGACTGTCTATTCCAAGTTTTTGCAGAATTTTTATCATGAATGCATGTTGACTTTGTAGAATGCTTTTTCTGCATCTGTTGAGATGATCATATGGTTTTTGTCCTTGGCTCTATTAATGCAGTGTATTACAGTTATTGATTTGTGTATGTTGAACCATCCCTGCATCCCTGGGATGAATCCCACTTGGTCAGTGTATATGATCTTCTTGATGATCTTCTGTATTTTACTTGCCAGTATCTAATTAAGGATTTTTGCATCTATGTTCATTAATGATATTGGTCTTTTCTTTGCCTTTCTAAAAATAGTTTCCTGGACACAGAAAAATAAGTGAGAAAATAACTTGTGGGCCCAATTTCTTGGTTTTGTTTTTTGTTATTGTTGTTCGTACTATGGTGCTGGAGAGGACTGAGGAGGTGGAGAAGGTCTCAAACCTAGGCCCTCACACATGAGCTTTTTAAGGAACACTTCTACTTATGAGGCAGAAAAGTACTTTGCAGCCACTACATCTTTGTGTTCCAAAATTCTGGGGGACGTCTAACCACTGCCCACAGCTCCTCAAGGGCAGGTCTGGCCTTCCTTTGGCCTGAGTTTCCAATTCCAGCTCAGCACCCAGCAGGGAGCAGATGTCTACCACAGTTACATCAAATTGATTTGCAGGACAACAGAAAAAAAATTCAGGTTATTTTAGCACACAGTTTTAAAAATAAGATATATTTGTTAGAAGACAAAATTATAACAAACTTAGTCCTGCAGATCTCAACTGGCTTTATTTGTGATTGTAGAACTGGATAGCATTTCAACCAAAAATGGTTCAGAATGTCCCACCTTACCAATGAGGTTTTTTTTCTCCCTTGGTGTACTGGAGATCGAATCCAGGACCTTGAGCTTGCTAGGCAGGCGAAGCACCACTGAGCTACATCCCCAGCCATTGAGGTTTTATTTATAGTTCTGGAAAAAGAAGTGACCCACAGAAATCAGAAGTGAGGTTCAGAGACAGTCTGGTTAACGATCCCATCTGTCTTATTTGAACATGGCCCCTCACTTGTGACTGGCCAAGACTCAGCTACTTGATGTGACAGTCTATTTAGACAGTAAGTTAGGTTACAGCTTACAGTTGTACAGAGAAACCTTTAGAACAAAGTCATGCACAAAAGTATCTTCAGACCAAATTTAACATTTTAAAACTGTAATTAACAACCCCAACCTGATCCGAGAATCTTTGAAGAGTAACGCATAATTTCACTGAAGTTAAAAACTACAAATATTTCCCAGAGACAGAGTCGATGGAATTGTCATTGCAAAGCTGCCAAAATGTGCCCAGTAAGTTTCTTTCTCTCCAAAGTCCCAGGCCCTTTGCTAGCTATTTAAATTCTCTGTTTCTTTCCTACCTCACCATCCCACCATTTCCGGCCACCCTCTTGTCCCCTCTGGTGGCAGACAGATCCTAAGGCCAGCCCTAATGACTCATAGCCCTTCCTATCCGAGGTGAGCTGGACTTGTGCCATGTTTCTAACCCCTAGAATATGACGGAGATGATGGGATGTGTTCCTTCATTAGATTTTGCCAAGGTGGAAGCCATCCTCATGACCATCTAAGACCCTGAGATGTCTAATCCTTCAAGGTAGCGTATTGGTGAGAGAGACACTCCCACTGGCCTCAAAGAAGCAAGCTGCAGTCATATGAACTCTCCACGGGACAGGTCACCCTGTGGGAAACTGCAGGAGTCCTCAGGGAGCTGAGCACCTGGACCCTACCTGCACAAGGAGCTGGATTCTGCTGATGCTCATATAAGCTTGAACAAGGACCCTGAAGTTTGGAAAGGACCATGCCTGGTGTCACCTTGACTGTGCCTCTTGAGACTACATGCTGAGGACCTAGTCAAGCTGTGCATGAATTCTTGACCTAGGAAAACAGTGAGGTACTGGGTGGGTGTGGCTTCCAGCTGCTAAGTATGGATTAATTTGTTGCACAGTGATACCCTGGCTCCATCTTTACTTATTTCATTTTTATCTTCATGCAGGGAAAGGAGAGGATTTTTCTTAGGGTCCATATTCCTGAGAAATCAGAGAGTGTGGTGCACACATGCATCATAAGCAGACCGTAAGTCTTACTTAACAAATCACTATTAAGTCATGCATTGCCTTGGTAAAATCCATTGACTGATAACCTTCAGAAGCCAGCAGACTGCTCTGTAATAGCATTTCTGTTTCCACAAACAAATGTCAGAAGACTCAACACTAATTGTCCACAAATCTGGTACCAGTTGTAAATGTAATTGTAACTGACATACTGCAAATGACGTAGTCACATAGTATATAAACTGAAAGTCTGAAAATGGATATTTTCCTCTGAGAATGAGGAAACTGTTGCCATCTTAAGTATATATAAAAGGAGAAAATAGTAGAAATCTAGAAGAACACAGCTCTTGAGATTTCTTCATGAGTATTTTAAAATTTCGGGTCCCTACCCTGGCCTGAACAGTGCATGCTGGTTGCTTATGTAAGAAGAGATTATAAGGTTGTGCGACTCCTTCTTATGACTCCTGGGAGAAAGACCCAAAGAAAGGTCTGTCCTTACAATGCAGTTAATGAATGATGAGGAATATTTGAGCTGCACGTGCAGTCGCTTATAATGCTTTCCCACTCTAATTGAGTTTTTCAATTAATTGATTGTGTTAGATAAAAGGGTTTCTTCTGAATTTTAATTTTAACGTTTTCCCCTCTGTCACAATAAGATTACAGAGTAGACATTCTGTCTTTAAGCAAAGGAATGCTTTGAGCTCCCTAGCTGAAAGTATTTTGGGAAAAACTAAGGCCTTGTCATAAAGCTAACTCTTGAATTCTGCTGTTTTGTCATAGAGCAGCAGCAAGCATAGCTGAAAAGGTAGATGAGTTCTGACAACAAAAGAGGAAGCCATTGTCAGCTGTCTCTTGATATGTTTTCAAATGCATAACATCACAGAGTTGGAAGATACTGTCGTGCTGACCTTGACAAGGAATTGCCAACCAGTGGGAATTAATTCATAAAAAGTAAAAAATTAAGGACTCCTGGAGACAGCTTTTCCCCTCCATCCCTCCTTCCCTTTGTCCCTCTCAGCCTTTGACCTACTTTTTAAGCAAAGAGTTTTGGGCTGGGGTTGTATAGCTCAGTGCTAGAGCACTTGTCTAGCACACATGAGGCCCTGAGTTTGATCCCCAGCACCATATTCACAAACTAAATAGTTTATAATCTACATTTAAGACATAATTAGATCCCAGACCCATTCCAGAAAGCCAATGTGAACATATACAGCAACTGCATTCCCTGAACAAAGTCTGGACAACTGGTTTTACCAGTGGGATAAGACTATTTGAAATTGAAACATTGAGTTTGCCTTTTGTCATGGATTTATATAAAGAAATGGTGGTGACTGCTGCTTAGAGCATTAATAATCTGAATTTGGGTACTGTGTACCCAATACTAATACCTGTAGTATTTCTTAGTCCATCCCTAAACAGGCTTTGGAAGTGAGAGATACTTACTTCTCTTCTGAAGGAGTCTTCAAAATGCTGACTAAGGAAGCTGTTAGGGAGTGAAAAAAGAGCATTATGGGGGTTTGCATTTTTATGTAGACTGAAGACAGAGGCTTCTAAGGCAACAGAATTCTTTCCTTGGGCTCCATATTGAGGCCATTTGTTACCCCTGGTCCATCTCCAACAATGCACAGTGTCTATGAGGCCAAGGAGACCTTCCCATCTCTCTTGCTAGACCATGCTCCTAACACCAGGCATACAGAATTCCCACCTGGATTGTCTCAGCTGGTGTCTGCCTCTGGGGGCTGTGCAGGCTTCTTTGGGTTGTCTTCTTCAGGGTCAACCACAGTACCTGTGCTTCCTTTACCCAGAGGGGTGGCTGTCTGTAAAGTGGTAGGAAATGGCTAGGAATAGCAGTTACATTTGAACACAGAACTCCAAACAGTCCAGGATTTCTAAATTCCAACCAGGACTTCTGGGTCTTTATGACTGACACTAGATCAAAACATACATACAGTGGTATCTTGGTTCATGAGCTTAATCTGTTTTATGATTTTGGGAAAGATGGCCACAGTCGTGTTTGCCATCTGATGCAGAGTTTGCAAACAAAACAAAATTTTACCAAACGTTTCTGTTTGCAAACCAAATTATTTGCAAACAAAAGCATTCATGAACCAAAGTATCACTGTACTTTATATAGCAGCTTGTTAAGTTGATTTATAAGTTTCACATATGCTTTATTTTTAAATGAGTGGTATATGAGTCTTCACTGCGCTCTGTTCCGGATCCTGCATATGGCTGTATTGCTGGGAAACTTACAAATTAATGCCACATCTATAGGCTGGCTGGTCTGGATATATCTGTCAAAAGAACAAATGTATACCCTTTGGCTCAATCACTCCACTTTTGGAAATTCATTGCATAGATGAATTTATACCACTGCAAAGTAAAAGCTATCCAATGCAGTATTGAAACAACAATTGAAAGCAACCCAAATGTCCATCAATAAGAGGTTGGTTAAATGATTTAGAGCAGTGATGGCAAACCTTTTAGAGACCAGGTGCCAAACTGCAACCTAAAACTCACTTGTTTATTGCAAATCAACCCTGCAATTAAACCTGAATACTGATATTTTAGTTTAGGAAAAACAGCCCTACATTAACATATTTTACATTAACATTTTAAAAAACCCCAAAATAACACACATGCTGGCACTGACTTAGATCTTATCTCTGTAATGGAATATTATGCAGCTGTAAATCAGAAATGGCAGTTCTCTGTGAACTACTGTGAAAAGATAGTTGACATTTATTGTTGAGTACAGCAGTAAGCTGCAGAAAAACAGGGAAAATAAGTCTATGGGTTCACACACACCAAAAAGATTGGAAACAGTGAATAAAAATGATTACTTGTGTCCATTTGGGGGGTGAGAACAAGGTTCTATATCTGCATGTTATTTTTATTTTGGGACTACATCAATGTGTTACCTATTAAAATAAAATAATGATTTCCAAAATGTGTTTTGAGCCCTGGAAGATTCATTCAGTGGGCCTTCCTGAGGTATAGGACAGAATCAGAGGCATAACTCTAACCTGTGCCTACAACAACAGCCCAGGAAACCAAGCTGTTCTCTACAGCAACCATTCCAGAAAGGCAGCTCTCCAGCAGGAAGTCAGGCCACTGTGTCTAGAAGCTGATCCAGGAAGCCAAACGATAGCCCTGTCACAGTGAGCTCCAAACAGCCAGAGGGGTTAACGATGGACAGCTTCCCTAATTTTTGTCCCACTTTCTAATTTAGGACCAAACAGAGAAAGCCAGATGTACTGCCCTAGATAATCACACAGGAGGCCCTACTTCTAGTTCTACCTCCAGCTTTCCTTGGCCAGCAACCTCTAGTTATTGCACCCCGGGAGCCTTCCTTCTTTGCCCGATCAAGCCTTCTACTCTTGTGCCTGCTCGGGAGTATGCCAAGTGCAGGTGACAATGGCTGGCTCCCTCGGTACAATGTGTTACTTTCCTTCACCGTGACCACACACTTGAGACAATGCACCTAAAGGACAACAAGGGCTTGTTTTGGCTCACAGCTTCGGACATTTCAGTCCATGGTCACTTGGACCGTGGTGGCACAGCCCATCACAGCAAGATGTATGGCGGGGCAGGTCTGTTCACCTCATGGCCCCTGGGAAGCAGAAAGACAGGAAGGAAGGGCTGGGATCCAGTAAGCCCTCTTAGGCCATGTCCCAATTACCTAAGCTCCTCTCACGAGGCCTCACCCTGGAGAGGTTCCATCACCTCAACATCACCACATGTTGGGGATCAAGCTTGTAACACGCGGGCCTTTGGGGGACACTGAGGACCCAAACTGCAGCGTAGAGCGAGTTCTGATTGACTGCTGGTTCTCATTTGAGCGATCATCGCTTATTTCCCCCATGGCCTCAGCTTTTCAGATCTCCCTAATTCTCCATCTAATCCAAAGCTAAAAATGATGGCTCAAAAATTCTTGCCTTTATTACTCAATACATTCAATTCTCATAAAATCATATTTTGTAAAATTGTTTCCGTTAACATACTATCAATGATAAATATCTCACCCTACTAACATGAATCTCAGGTTAGTAGTGTGAATTTCCAGAGCTGGTCATAGAATTCTAGAAATTAGCACTTGCGGAAATAACTGGCTTGTCAATCAACGACTTGCAGGTGAAGAAGGATCTGTCACTTAAGAGTGGTACATGCAGCTGCAGTTTCAGGCTGCACCACCAGATGGTGCCAATACCTCCCTAGTGGTTTTGCTTTTGTTCTCTCAAGTGGTATTTGATAGATATTGAAAAGGCTAATTACTTATGGTCATAACCAAGTTGAAGTTTTTAGCTTTAGATGTAGTTAAAAATAAGTACAAGTGTATACCATCCTTCAGAACAGTGTATGCCAAAGAACTAAGCAGCCTAAAAGGAATGGAGAGCTATTTATCTCCTGTAACTAGCCTACTTAATATTTAATTTATGCAACTCTCAAAATCTGGTCTGCACAAATTAGACCTTTCAAAATTTTGATTTGCTTGCCATCTGCTACACTATAGCGTCAGCATTTAATATTTAAACTTTCTGTGGAGATGCAATCCCCATTGCTCTCACTAGCTCATCAGAATGCTTCCTCTCTTGAGCAGTCTGCACCACTGCTGGAGGAAAAGCGAAAGTCACATCTCCAAAGGGGAAGTCAGTCACTCTATAGCAGAAGTCGCTCCTCCAAAGCAGAAGTCACTCCTTCCTCTGCCCGGCTTTCAGCAGGCAGCTGAGCAGGGCTGCTGAAGAATGGCCACACCCTTGTCTCTCTTTCTTGAAAATGCTGATCTGACTGACCTATGGTGTCCGTGAGTGTAGCTGTAGCTTTTCCTCCTTAAACTTTGTGTTCTTGAGACTCAAGAGTTCTCTGGAGGTGACAAAATGCTTGCTCGGAAACGGTATTTGTTTCTTGGAAAATGACCCCAGGCTCACTGGTATCACGGAGTACACTCAAAACCAGCCTAATCCATTCTCGTAGACTGAATATAAATACAAACCAGGCACAGGAGTTCTCAGTGTGCCATGGGCCTGAGATAGGGGATCTATGGTTAGCAATGAAATAAAGATGTCATACAGGCTAACAATTCTTTATCTGAAAGGCCAGATAGGCTTCAGAATCCAGATTTTTTTTTTCAGAATGTTTTGATTTATAAAGGTAATTGTTGTACATGATTCATATTATGTGATACACCAAGCGGTGAAGGTGGGCAACTATGATCAAACCATTAATTTTTTTGCAGGGAAATATATATATATATATAATTTGTTTTCTGGGATAGGGTCTCACTATGTAGTTGAGACTGACCTGGAACGCACTATGTAGCCCAGGCTGGTCTGGAACTCACAGTGATCCTCCTGCCTCAGCCTTCCTAGTGCTGGGATTACAGGCATGCACCACCACACCTGGCTCTTCAGGGAAATATTAAATTCACATTAAATAGGATAAATAAAGACTAAATGGCCTTAGGTCAGGTCAGTTTTTTTGTTTTTATTTTTGTTCTTCCTTTTTAATATATATACATGTTTGTAATCCATAATATTTACAATCCTTGTGTGAAGTTGGTATATATATATATATGATATATATATGATATATATATATGATATATATATGGTGTGTATATATACATACATATATATATATATGTATAATATCTTAATTTCGTTTTTCATCTCCTTTCCCTTCTTTCCCTCCAGGTTTTAAATCCAAACGACGTATGAAATAAATCTGGTTGTGAGAGCTTTGTGGATTCTGAGAGCATAGATAAGTGTTTTGGACCTATATAAGGTGCTTTATGTGTGTTAGTTCATTTAATCCTCATGGAA